CCTCATATTAATGCATAGCCACATGCTTAACAGTACTCACAGTTATCAGAGTGTTGGTTAGTCAATTCCCTGAGAAAAAACACGACTTCGTTGGGATATCCATTTCTTCACTTGAACAGTTCAATAAACTCAGATAATCTAACAGTAGAATGAAGGCGGATCCACTGCTGCGGCTCGTTCTCCTTCATTTGGCAGGTGATTTTTTCGAATGACCTATGGTGTTCCAGAACATCCAAAACAGGTGTCCTTTTCCCAGTGTTCTCTTCTTGTGGAAACTCTGTTTGCCTTGATCTGTCATTACATACATCTCCCTATGCCAGTGATTGACACAATCCTTCAGTAGGCTGGGGAGGTGGGGGGTTCTTCATACAAGCCTACTCCTCTTCTGACGTGAATTTGGAATTTCATCTCTCTACCAATCTTCAAAAAAAACCACATCTATACTAAATCCTGACAAGCAGGATACCGCTCCTGCTCTCCTATCGCATTCGTCCTTCTTGTTAAGTAGTCCTGTCCGGATGGCATATTCTGAAGCCCCCTATCGTCCCGCTTCCGGAAGCACATGCTATTTCTGTCACAAATTTAGATTTACACACGAAATTTTCCGTATTTTTTTAGTTGTTCGATTGGTGGTTAATGTTCAATGACGCGGAGAAACTATTATTGAGCTAGAGATGGTCAGATATAACTCTGCCGGCTTGAAACGAGCAACTCCGAATAATTTGTACAGTGAGTGCAGAAGTCCTTATTGGTGTTTTCCTCTATGATTTTTTTTTCCTGAGAATTACCTAGCTAGCCATAAGTCGTATTTGACGTACCCTACACTAATATGTATGACGGTTTGCTTTGACCAGAAAAGTCCGCCCACTTACCATAGAATTTGAAAGAGACTGAGTAAATCGACTCCTATAAGCTATCAATATAGCTCGTGTTTAGGGTAAGTCTCATACGACTCGATTCGACGTATAGCGATCCTCGCGCCATAGCTTCAACAGCTCACCATCAGCCATTCGCACCTACCTACCTTTCAACTTTTAGCTGTTCATAAGTGACTTGTGAAAATGCAGGTTGAATTTGGCTATTTATATTTGATCCCTTTAGATCTACCGATTTACCCGGTCTCCATTCGAAATTCCATGCAAGTTTGGCACCTCCCTGGTAAGCAGTGCGCCTGCCCAGTTCACTGTATATCCTAGCAGGACTGTTCTCTGAGCTATAGCCGCCTAATACTACATTACCCCGTAATGGGTTTCATTGTAGTGCGACAAGCTTATAACGATAGCTACCATATCTTTTATGAGAATCTTGTTCCATATTGCTACAGTATCGTTTGATCAACTCACACGTCCCTCTTACCTTATGTCTACTGCCTTTCTTAGTCCTGATGGCACTCTCCTGCATTGTGCGGACGGTAGAATATATGGGTGATATTCTTGGGCGCGTCGAGATTTACAAATGTTCATCAGGCCAGCGTTTCGGCTGTCTTCTTCAGAGCCTGTAAATCGAAATTTATTTTCGAAACAATCCGCCCCAATTCAAAAGTGAACACTTTATGAAACGATTTCGCTAAAAAAGCGCTAAGCTTTTTGAGAAATGTTGCTTTCAGAATCGCGTGCCTTGAGCTTAGAAGATCGTCGCGCGTGGACGCTTTTGTATTATCACCCCACTCCCATGAACTGGGTTGAACTGCTTTTGGGAAGGCTTTAAATCAGTTGAGTCGGGTCAGAGCAGCACAATCAGCCCTCCCCCTTCCATCAAAATTTATTACGTCGGTCAATAACTAGAACCTCGGTCGCTCATGGAGCACTTTTCATTATATTTTGTTTCTGTTCTTCTATCTCGAAGTAATTAGATGGACAGATTTATTCGGTCAACGTTTCGACTCGTCAAAGGCCTAAACATGGCTCGAAGCTCCAGAATTGCACCTGTCCCGCCGAATGCTTTGCCCCTCTCTACCTAACATTTCTGACGTCATCCTGAGATAATCCCAAAAACCCGGACATAACATTTACCTTGCATCCACACACTACCTACATTTACTACTCATTTGCTATTGTTGACACAGTCTGCCGTCTGCGCGCGATAGACGTGTGCTGCCCTAAGCAAGAGCCTCGCAGCGGGCAAGTCGGGAGAGCACCGGTAATACACACACTTTCGGTACCGTCTCGTGCACTTTTGGCTATAAAAATGCATGCTGCTGCAGCTGCGGCCTTTAAACCTTCCGCACCATCTTAAGGACATTCTCTCCCAGTTGATTGAACGTTTCCTCTTCAGGAAAGTGTCTTAAATTTTTCCCGGCAGAATTTTTAAAGAGCGGCACATGTAGCACTGTGACGCTCTATACACGCAGCCATCCATTTAACAACAGTGGTTCACGTTTCGTTTTATGTGCTGTTGTTTACATATTGCCGCCTCGTGTGTCGCATGCTTGTTATCTGACCATCTGTGGTTGAGAGATGTTGTTTTTCCTTATGGAATTCGTATCGGTCGTCTCCTTCATGCAGGCCTCTTTTTTTGGGTTCCAAAGTTTCGCTCCCTCTGTTGGACTCCCCTTTTGGATACTGAAACAGATGGGGACTTTTATAGTTAGAAAAGAAAAAGAAAATAAACGAAAAGAAAGTAAAGTTTGAGATGAATGAAAAATTGAGAACACTTAGGCGCACCAGAAGTTTCTCCTCACCGTGGAGTATGTATTTTTGATTTTTTGGCCTTCGATTTGTTTTTGTACCTGCAGAGAGTATTTACGATGAGAGAGTCGTTGCAAGAACTCGAACCTTTCATCTTTGAAGGACAGATTCGCCATCCATTACATCACAGAGATTCTCCTGATCAGAGTCCAGTGTAGGTGGAGAAGGCGGTGTTAGCGAGGCGCCCCGAATTTCCTCTTCCAGTGCGATCTCACCTGATTTCTTTTTCCAATACTTCCCCCACCCGAAATTTTCTCTTCCAGCACGTCCACCAAAACTTTGCTCTTCCACTGCCACCCTCCCAAGACTCCTCCCCAATCTACCTATCAGCACGTTATCAAATTCTTCTAGTCTCGTGAAAATTTCCCAAGAATTTTTCGAATTTTTTGGAATGGGGGCCTAGGAACTTTTTCTCAGGAAAGTGCCGACGAACGGGAGGAGTAGGGATTACAACTAGCGATTATACATCAGTTTTGCACCGATGTCAACTAAAAACGAGGGTGGCGAAGTACGTAACGCTTATAAAAGAGGAAAAATCAACAACAAACAAAATTGCCCTCAGCGGCTCGGAAAAATTTCTCTCACGGCCAAATAAAACTCCTTTTCGCTGCACAAGTACAGCTCCATGAGGGTTTTGTCCAGCGATACTGTAACCTCACCTCCTTCCCTCCCCCCTCCCCCCAGACATGCACACATTCACCACGGCCCATTAGCTCCTACACGTTTAGCGTGATGAGACACTTAGCGGATATCGGCGGTGAACCATCAGGCTGAAAGCTCTACCGAAGCACCCCTGGCTGGTGTGTGGCAAGAGAATTGTTATTCGCCGCGCCACTGGGCGTCACGTACGACGTCGCGCCTGCTAGTAATGACGATTTTAGGTGGTGAATGTCTACCATGTCCTTGTCTACATGAAATCCGATGCCCCAATCGAAAGGGTATTGCAAATTAAGGAAACGTCGCGCCCATTGCCGCGCGCGACGACGCGGCAATTTACGATCCTCTTGCCCGTTTCCCAAGCACCTCGGCCCTGGTGGTATATGTAATGTATAGCTTGCTCGAAGAGCTCGTCTGGTACCTGGATAAGGCATAGCGTCCCTAAAAACAGTTTTTTGCCAGTTGTCATGCGAGCAGGACAGGCGGCCACAAGCTGCCGCTTTCCTTCTGATTTAAGTATCCGACCAGCTGGAACGCCAATTTGGCACTTTCCGAAGTTTAGGCCTGTTGTCTGCTTTCACACTTACACTGCGATATCGTAAAAAATCCCAGTGGTGGCTGAGTTAGAGGGTATGAATGGACCCACTCTCATACTTCGGGTCTGTTACTGGTTGTGGTTCCACCTGGTACCCGCCAGCGCATCAGTGGAACGCCTTCAGGTCTCCAACAAGTATCAGGAGGATCGCCTGCAGAGCTCTTACCAGAGAAAATCGACTGGTCGCCGAACCATTCAGCCTATTTTATATACTTCAAACACGCGAGCTTGAACCGAGCCCAGTGTGAGCTCCTGCACGTCGTACCATTGGGGATTTACAAAGAGGGGGGGGGGTCGTATTTGGTCGGGGGAGAGGGGAGAGTCGTACTTCCCTGTTGACCATTCTTAGTTTCTCCCATTTCACCAGCGCTATAGTGGCGCGGTAGTCTCGTTCAAGCTCTGCATTGTTCTCACCCAGTATTTTCTAACCGGCTATTCTCAGCGATACTACAACTACATTACTCTCTATCAGATATTCAGTATTCCGCTGCAAGTTCACGATGCAATAGCGATAACTAGTGTACCACCCCACTTCCTCGCTTGGTAGCAGTCGTTTCTAGGGAGAGTTGGGAAATTTCTATGGAGTCGGGGAGAAAAGTGGTGGGGCATCGGGAAAATTTACGAATATGGGATGGTTTAAGGGGCCGTACCAACAGAGGAATTTCTGATGGGGTGGGGAGAGGGGAGGGGTTCATCTTTCGAAGTGTTTCACTCCAACACTAGGACATGTACTGCCTGTGATTCTTCTGTGAATCATTCAAATTTGCCCGTGTTACTCATTGTCTCTGTTGACGTTGCGTATTGGTTAAATAAGTAGAGCGTGGTAGAGCTCTACAAACATTGTCGTCGTACGCTTTGATTTCAGTTTGGAAATCACCGGGAACTAAGGGCAAAGGGACGGGAACTAGTGAGGATTTTTGGGATAAGATTTAGGAGAATTTCTAGAACCTTTCAGCTTGGATGTGGGAAGTGAGCGCTCAGTCGTAGCCTTGCCGTTATCCTTACCCTCCACCGGTGCGAAAAAGGCAGCAAAAAGAATCCTGTTTCACTGCAATAATTAAATGAGCAGAAATGAGGATCAGAAAGCAGCGGTACCTTTCCTAGGCCAGCCAGGCAACAGAGACTGCTCGCCTGTGCTTCTCACCGAGAAAGTGATTCCTCTTTTGCCAGAGTGACCGTCAGCTAGTCTCGCGACGACGGTCACAGGAGATTCGTAGAGCCTTGAACCTCCTTCCTTTCTCCTTTTTTCTTTTTCTTTTCTTCTCGCTTCCTGCTTTTCCTCCGTTTGAAGGTTCAGCCAAACAACGCAAAGGGGGAACTACTCTGGACTCCCGAAGATAACGGAATTCTGTTTGACAGACGCCTTCGAAACTAGGACAGCGCCAGGAAACTCCAGGCGACTCCAATATTCGGCGAAAAAACTGCTGCGAATTTTGAACGATCCTGATCTGAAAAAAAAAGTTTGTTAGACTGGATCACTTTCGAATTCAAGCGACAGTAGAGGTCAGATATCCTCCATTTCCAGCTTCTTTTAGTAGAGGTTTTATTGTTAATTTTTGTCCGTGACAATGCCATGAAGTTTCTAAAGTCTACTATTTGAGGAGAATTTCCGCGTTTCACAGCTGGCGTCGGGTCTCGATAATACTGTGGTCTGGTCCCTACCCTCAAGTCATACGAACTGTTTCAGGACCCTTTTTCTGGAGTTACAGCGCAGCCAATCAACGCCGCATACTATATGCCCGGCGTGTACAATGGCGGCTATAGCCACGAGCCGTATGGACATAACGCATATATAGGTAAGTGGAACGGTATAAACCAGTAATCTGCTAGTCCTACTTGAACTTAAAGACACATTCCGCGCTAGTCATGTGCGCAGAGTCAGTTCGGCAAGAAGAACATAAGAGTGTAAAGTGTCAAAATGAGCGTAAAATGACACTCAACCACCGATGGGTCGGTCCCTCCTGTTAATTATGGCAAGAAGTAGGATCACACCAATGACGGAAATGCGATAGCCGAAGTGACTCCACCCATATGACCAGCGCAGTACAGTCTTTATCGCTGCGAACGCTAGGACATTTCAGAACCTAGGTTTCTGCTAGCTTGTTCTCCACTATTTGTTAAATCTGGCAAGCGACCGATTGGTGAAGAATAAGCTAATGTCATGCCAAACTCAGCCTCCTACCCCAAAATGCCCCAGCGAGAACCGCGAAGATTCAGACCGCAGAAAACCAGACTTTATGTGCCTCTAACCTGAATGTTTTAGATGCGGCATACGTCGACACGCAACAGTTCCCATACTACGGTGGTTACACCTACACGCCTTACTATGCAGATGGTCAGGCCTATCGTAACTATGCCTATCAGTCAAGTCAGGCCTATCCGGGTGCATATGGACCTTATCCGGGCGCATCTGGAGCCTACAGACCATACCCACAACCACAACCGTCGCCTCCACGAAGATCACGGTGAGTTCGGAGAATTTTTTAAAAGCATTTTATTTCTCAAAAACTGCACCGGATGCAAACTGTACCCGATCGATTAAGTGATTGTTGTGAATTTTTCAGGACAGCCCCCAGTCGTGGAGTTCCGTACCCTGCACGGACGAACGTACCCTCATCGCGGAAATCCCGAGGGGTCTCAGCTGATCCGTACGATAAACGGCAGTACAAGGTGGGTTGAGCTACCCATTTCTACATTTCCAATCTATCAACGAAAGAGGCCTGAACCTTTGGATTGACATGGAGTTAGATTTCTGATATCTCATGATTTTCAGGCAGTTTCCGGTCCCATGAAGAAACCGTCACCTGCCTATAGGAAATCCCGTGATCCTTATACGTATCGGTTATCGCAATATCAGGTATCAAACATTGTTTTTTCATACGTTAAATTTCGCATGTCAAAATTCGGGTCACGTGAAGAAATCCGTAGGAAAATCGGATTCCCTGACGAAAGAGCGTGGCCAAGTTTCCCGACGTCGAAGTGTGAACGTATTGGACTTCAAAGAAGTCGCGAATCAGACCTCTTCTGTTTGCACCTACCAAGCGAGCCTGGTACCAGGTGGTCAGTTCGACGGATCGCTTGCAAAAGTCGATCCTCGATTTGCCCTTCCCCAAGCATGCACCCGTTTGACAAGCGGCGCCACTTCCTCTGCACCTTTTCCGACCAATTCTGCTTGATGGCAAACTTGCAGCCTTGTCCACTGCGGCTGCTGGTGCGTGTCAAGCTGGGGAGGGGGCTAAGTATGGATGCTCAAAAGGCCCGTTTTCTACCATTTATTGCCACCTGCCACCTTCTTCGATTGGTGGAGAATAGGCGACTGCTAGGTAAATCCATTTACTCCACCCCCCCATTTTTTGCAGCGAACATGACTGCATTTTTCGACTTGCTGGTGCACACTTGGAGGATTTTCTGATTAGTCATAGGAGTGCCATAGGAGTGCTCAACCATAGGTAAACGATTCGGTCCTAGGCAGGACCCGAACTTGCACCCCACGCTTGGAACCCCACCATTTTTTTTCTCCTTATGTTTTCTCTTCCAACGTGTGTATTTTTCGACGATATAATTCCATTCAAGGAAAC